AAAAAAAAAAAAAAAAAAAAAAAAAAAAAAAAAATCCTACAAGCTTTCAAATTAAAATTAAAATTTTGGAAAACTTGTTTCAACTGTAAACCTGACAACTTTCCAATACTTAAAGTTTTCAGGTAAGATAAATGGTGTTATTAACAAATGTAACTTCAATTTGCATAATCAAATGTATTAATTTTTAAACACTGGTATTATGCAATGAACCAGTATTTCCCCAATAGTCAATACTTAATGCAATAAAATGGTATGTAGATAGTGATTCAAAGTGCAAGAAAACCCAGTGGATCCTAAAGAATTCAAATAAATTAGCTGATAGATCTTCTAACATTTAAGAAATGATCACTTGTTAAATTTTGATTTAGTATCAAAGATGAATATAATCACCTGAAAAGAAAATTAAGACACTTTATTTTCCAATCATATACTCAGATGTTATAATAAGCAATTTTGGAAGTGTTCTTTCCAGAAATTAAAAACCATATGCATGTATCACCATGATTATTTACTATTGATTACTCTTTAATCATATCAGCCATTTAAAAACAAAGGAATTCTCTGTTACTTGCTTAAAATAGCTATCCTTTTATTGTTATGGTCTCATATATTTTCAACAAATATGTAACTACAGGGGCTTAATTTATTACAAAACTAAGATTTACCATTGCTCCAAAAAGAAAGGTGAAGGAATAGTGTATATCTTAAATATCTTTTAGAAATAGGTAAGTTAAGACCTGCCTCTCCCTAGTTATAAAGAATTTATTTATTTATTTAACAACATGCATAACTCTTGAAATTTATATACCAATTCCCACATCACACAGTGTTAGTGGATTTAAGACATTTCTAAGGTAATGCCTTTTTATGTAAAAAACTGACCTGTAAATTTCCAAAGAAATAATTTGATATAAACAAACTCCTCAAATTTGGAAGAAATACCCTAAATGGTATTAGCTTTTCTCCATTACTAGTTTAAGGAATAAAAGTATTTTAAACAATTGTTCTTACATAAATCTTTACAGTTAAGAAATATCAAAAATCATTAATTTCAAGGAAAGAAGTTTGAGAAAAAGTTTCAAATGGGAATTGATAATGTCCTAATAAATGACTAATAAATAAGGTCCTATTAACATGCCCTCAGTTTATATGCTATAGTTCTTTTGGTCAGCATATTTAAGAGATAACAATCAGAAGCTGGTCTTTCTACCCCTTCCAAATGATCCACACATTTCTTCAGACTTACCTTTGTAGTTCACTGAGCCCCCTGGCAGCTGGGAGGCTGGGATTTTGCCTTAGGAAGTTTTGTTTTAAATTGAGATGGGTGAGGTCTTGGCTGTAGAAGAGGTTGGCAGGCAGATGTTCCAGGCTACAACAGGAGAGGTCCACTGAACTTATGCGTTGGGAAGCAACCTAGAGGGGAATAAAATTACAGCTTGATTTTAATACCATCCACTTATTGCTATTTTCTATGGAGAGATAAAAGATAATCCCATTTGAGAATAAAGATATACTATGACAGTAGGACTATTAATCCAAATATAAAGAGATTATTCACTTAGCACAAAACTGAGTGCTATAAATGCAGAAAAAGAGTATCCCAGCTGGAAGGTGCCTAGGAGGACCTAGGACAGGTGGTGGGTTCCCAGGAGCACAGATTATCCCAATAGATTTAGGGATATCACTAATTTCTTCCAATGTAGGGGTTTTACTGTTGAAATTTTCCATAGTTAAAGAGAATCCAAAGCAAATTAATACAAGACTTTAGAGTAAATAAAGAGTTGGGAGACAGATGCTAAGATCTAAACTGAACCTATGAAAACCCTAGTATATATTGATTTAAAACATCACAAAGTAGTATCAATAGTCTTGCATACATTTTAATAATAAATCATATTACAATCACATAATTAGATTCTATTAGATGCCTCATATAAACTTCCCAGGTTGTCACTCCACAAAGTTTCAATGAGATGCTTATAGATTCATTGTGGGTCACTTCATTATAGCTAAATGTTCCTGGTTAACCTTCCTGGTTAAATGACTCCTACCACAGCCAGAATCCTAGGGCTACAGTCCAAGTTGCATGTTGGGCACAGAATATGTACCAGAGAATCTATATTCCCTCTCCTGTATTCTAGGTATTACAGGGCTGGTTTACAGTAAAGCACAAGATTCTAGCCCACTTCCACATATCATGGGTGTTTCTCTCCTCCCAGAGACCAAGACAAGAGTTCTAAACCTTAGAACCTAAACCTTCTGTATCTTTGCCAAATGTTTTTGATGCTAAAAAGGATTCAGAAGCAAATATGCATATAATATATTCTGCTGATATTTGAGGTTAAAAAGAAGTTACCGTGCACACATGAAAGTCCAAGGATATTGATATGAGTTGGGTGTGGTGGAGCACACCTGTAATTCCAGTACTCAGGAGGCTGAAGCAGAACTGTTATGGGTTCAAGGCCAGTCTGGGCTACATAGTGAGACCTTGCTTCAAACAAAACAAAACACAAAGGATACTACTGGTGGTGTGAAAGAAATGGCTAAAGCTCATTCATCTTAACTGATTGTAGAAAAGTCTTGAGTTTGCATTTTGGCAGTTCCAACTTTTCTTGAATTTTCATTGTTAAATAAGAAAAAATTCCATACTGGCACAAATCACTCATAGAAACTAGAAGAAGTGAAAAAAAGCCAGAATTTTAACGGTACCTAAAAGGTAGGTACAAAAGCCCCCTAGCCACAGCAAACTGCTGCTCATGGGAAGGAATCAGAAAAAGAAATGAGGGTGAAAAGTTCCACTAATCAGTGAAATAATTCATGAAAAAACATGGTGACCATCTCATTGTGTGCCAGACCTTATATGTCCTGAGGCACAGCAGAAAATAAAACAAACACACTCCCTACCATGAATGAATACACAGCAACAGGGGTTGGGGCGAAGAAAAAGTAAGAAACTACATGATAACTGTTACAATAACAGAACATACAAGGGCATCAAACATGATGTGAGCATCAACTTCCCAGAGGATGTAACATCCAACCTTGAAGGTCAAGCAGAAATATGTATTTCTTGGATGCCACACATCTTTCTTCACTTTTATCTGTCACAGTTATACATGTTTTAAAAAAGAAAGAAAACAAAATAGCCCACACGCATTATCCAGAGTAGAGTTGAAAAGTATGCCTCTCCAGGGAAGCCATGAGCTCCATCCTTGAGCAATTCTAGAGCTCCATCTGCTAAAGCCAGGCCAGTCCAACAGGTGCTGGCATAGAACTCAACCTGGTTAACGAGAGGCCTCTGGGATTTGTACTGTGCATTCTGAAGCCAGGACACAGACATAACCTGCCATATAGGACTTCAAAAAAGTGAATGAACTAGATCTGTATGTAATAATCTGAACTGATTAAAAAACAAGCAAACTTTAACCTGCCACATACAATATAATACCATTACTAAGAAACATGTTAACACAAACACACAGCTCTGTTATATTATGTGTGAATAGTAATGTGCAATAAAGCTATAAATTCAAAGATTGATCATATACCAGATGACAGTGATTGCTCTAGATAGGCTGAAAAGGAAATGGAAATAGGATATAAAAAAGAAAAAAAATTTGAGTTGACTGCTAATGTTTACATTAAGAGGGACAACAAAAGAGAGAAAGCAGCTATATCAATATGTTAACAACTAGGGAAACCAGTACACAAAAATCATATTATCCTATGTACTCTTTTGTGTATATCTGAACATGTAAGTATATTTAGTGTGAAAAACAATATATGTGATCTAAATAAAAATTTCAGTAAAAATGGGAGAAAAGATGAGAGCAATCTTCTGTCTTTACTTCCTGTATCTTATTAGATGGTAGGCTGGGGATAATTCCTCCTCTTGTAAACAAAAAATTCTCTTATCCCTTTTTAGTGGGCAAATGATGGCCCCCCCCAAAAACACACATCCACATTTTTATAGTGGAATCTGTGACATTTACCTTATATGGAAAAAGAATGAATATAACCTCATATATCAAAAGATGTGATTAAGTTAAAGATCCTGTATTATCCATTTGGGCCCTAAATACAATCCTATGTGTCATTTTATAAGAGAGGGGCAGAGAATTCTAAGGCAGGATAGGGAAAGAAGAAGCAGCAACTACAGTAATGTGTCTAGAAGTTTAAGAACACTTGGAGCCACTAGAAGGTAGAAAAAAAGAGTAGATTTCCCCCTAGAGTATCTGGAGGAAGCATGGCAACACAACAATTTCTTCATCCAAATCTCAACAATTCCAGAATCTTTCTCAAGTCCAAATTAAAGTCTCTTCTGAGACTCAAGGCAAACTTTTAACTATAAACCTGTTTTTAAAAAATATAGCAACAGGGACCAGGGATTTAGCTCAGTGGTTCCACCACCTGTTTCACAAGTGCAAGGTCCCAAGTTCAATGCACAGTGCCCCCAAAAAACAAAAACAACAACAACAAAAAAAACATAACAATAACATAATACTAAGGTGCAATGGCACAGGGTAAACATTTCTATTCCAAAAGGAATAGGACAGAAAATCAGACCAAAGCAAAACCAAAACCCAGAAGAGCAAACATAGTGGTAAAACATGAAAAAATGCTCCACATCACTGTTCATTTGAGAGATGCAGATGAAAACAACACTGAGATTCCACCTCACCCCACAAAGAATGGCTGCTATCAAGAAATCAAACAATAACAAATGTTGGTGGGGATGTGGGGAGAAAAGAACCCTTCTCCATTATTGGTGAGTGTGCAGACTGGTGCAACCACTATGGAAATCAATATGGAGATACCTCAAAGAGCCTGGACTGGAGGTTCCATTTGACCCAGCCATCCCTCTGCTGGGTATCTTTCCAAAAGAACTAAAAGAATCATATCACAGTGATGTATGTGCACCCATGTTTATAGCAGCACAGTTTATAATAGCTAAAACTTGGAAACAGCCCATTTGCCCATCAGTTGGAAACTGGATAAAGATGAGGTTTTTCTATAAAATGGAATATTACTCAGCCATAAAGAAGGAGAAAATAGATTCATTCATAGGAAAATGGATACATATTGAAGATATACTCCTAAGTGAAATAAATAAGTCACACATGTGTAAATACCGAATAGTTTCTCTGGGGCTCTGATTTTTAATGTGAATCAAACTAGAAACATGGAAAGGTTTTTAAAAGTGTTATATGATCACATTCAATGATATAGCCCTATACCTAGCACTTGGTGCAACCCTCAGGACATCTTGCTGGAAGAAGGGACACCAGACTATTTTATAATTCTTTCATATCTTACAGTTTCCCTTTGATCCATCTATTGTATTCTCACCCAAAGACTAATCTGAAGAAGACAAATTCTATTTTAACTGAACCATCACACTAAATATTCCCTTCAGACAGGTAAGACAAAATGATCAAATATCAAATTGTATTTGCTCCTTTCTTCATCCTGAACCACAAGCTGTTCCTACTGGAAGCAGAAGAAGGAAGCCACACTAACAAGGCTACAATCAGCAAGAGCTGTCTTGTGAGACCAGAAGCAGGAACATCTATAGTGAGAACATAAATTTAACAAGTCATGAAATCCCTGGGGCAGTGAGCTGCCAAGGTAACCGCAAAGGCCACCACAAGCTGCATTTTTGCTTCCCATGCTCTGGCATCAGAAGTAAAGATGTAAGTGTTTCCACCACCCTGGGCACATCAGACTTCACCACAAGTAGCACAAAGCACTCCCTTGCTGGAAGGTTTGCCTGGTTCCCCAATTAGAATGGGGCTATTCAAAGAAGCTGTGGCTCATCTATACAGCAGCTAAAAAACTAAGATCCTTCTCAAAATAAGAGAGACCTACATAAATAACAAATACTAGCAAGAAATCAACCTGGATACACCGGAGGGCAAGCAGTCTTTATTATCCTAGCTTTTTTGCCCCCAAGCAGTACTAAACAATGGTAACAGCCAACATTTAGAAAGAGCTACCCTTAGGACAAGTAATCTTCCAAGAGATAATGACATAATATTTGGTTTAATCTTCACCACAGCTCAGTTCAGTGAAGACTGATCCCCATCTCAAAGATGAAGGTAAAGCTGAGGAAGAGTGCGCCCAAAGTCACATGGCTAAAGTAGCAATGGGACTTACATGACCATCTATACTATTAATTCCACAACTTCAGGTCCTGGGAGGCAGTTTAGATCTCACCAGAAGGGGGTCCTCTATTTTGTGCACAATGATAACATACTTAGTATAAATAAAGTGGCCCATAGGAAAAGCTTAAGCTTTAGGAATGAAGACAAGTTGACATTCCTCTGCAAGAGAAGCAGATGGGATCATGTGCTGACCAAACACATATTGCAAAAGAGGAGAAAAGCCCTATGGGGCCAGAATTCCTTGAAGTC